ATTTTGAGACATTTTGAGACATTTTGAGCAATTTTGAGCAATTTTGAGCGGATTTTTGGGGCAGGTATGAGACATTTTGAGACATTTTGAATCGATTTTGAGCAATTTTGAGCAATTTTGAGCGGATTTTTGGGGCAGGTATGAGACATTTTGAGACATTTTGAGTTGATTTTGAGCAATTTTGAGCAATTTTGAGCAATTTTGAGCAATTTTGAGCGATTTTGAGCGATTTTGAGCGGAATTTGTTCGGCCAGCAATTTGTATATTTGAATAGTCCTTTCAATCTACATGTCATTCCTGCACAATTGGAATTCACAAATTATGGAGATTGAAGCTAGGTCGCAACGTTTTTGCCCATTTTATTTTAATATTTGTTTTAGTCTAGACGCAATCCTTAGGCCAATTTTGAGCAAACTTTTCTGGCCAGGCCCATTGCGTTTGAATACTTGTTTTGGTCTATAGCAGGCCATTTTCGAGCAATTGAAAAGATTTTGAGCAATTCTACCCACATACCATCCATATTTTATCCATCTATTATTCTTAATTTAGCGCCCATATAACACATTCAATATCGATTTGCGATCAACGTGTTATCCATAAGTTATCCATGTTTTATCCATGTATAGTATCCATTCATTGTCCATTTATTATCCGTTTAATCATTGTTTATCCATTTGTTGTCAATTGTTTATTCATGTATTTGGCATTAATCATGCATTGGATTTAGCTAGTATCAATCTATCATCCATTAATTATCCATTTACTACCCATATATCACCACATATTGTCTTGTGCTCGTCCGTTTGTTATCGATGTACTAGCAATTTATTTTCCATGTATTTTCCATTCTGTCATCATTGTTTCATCCATATGCCATACATATATCGTCCAATATTTTTTTTATTGCTTCCATATATTATCAGTTTCCTTCCATAAAGTTTCACATTTCCGTCCAAATGTCCAAATATTATCCATTGTTCAGCCATTATATCCAGCTATTATCCATTTGGCTTTATGCATTATCCATGTACCATCCATGCTTTATCCATATAAGAATACTATCCCTTTTTTACCAATTGTTCATCCATGTGCTATCCATCGGAAATCCCTCCTCCAAGATGTTTAAAGTTGAAAAAAGGCAATGCGAAATCCCTCCTCCAACAAAAGGCCAGCGTCTGGGACCAAAAGCAAGGGCAGCATTTTTCAGTATAGACTCAACATAAGGCCAGTATCTAGGACCAAAAGCAAAGTAGAAAGATAGGCCATACAAAATTCCTTGTCCAATCTGTTTGAAGTAGAAACAGGCAATACGAAATCCATTTAATTTTTTTATAAATTGAATATCCATTTATAATCCGTTCATTTCCTGAGTTTCCATTTATTTCCAGTTTACTCGCCAAATATTTTCCAAATTAAAGTAAATATGTAGATATTATCAATTTAGTGTCCACGTATTTTCTTTATATTATCCATTTATCATCCACTCATTTTCCATGTGTTATCAACGTATTTTTTACAACTTATCCGTTTATTATCCATACAGCATCGGAAACGACGTACGGCATGGAAAACAACAAATGCAACAAGACTATGCGCAAAATCCTCCACAAATAAAATAAAGTGCGACGTTGATTATTGAACATGCGTGTATTATTGTAAAAATAAATCTACATATATATATATATCTCTCTCTCTCTCAAATATATATATATACATTTGTGTATATATGTTCCTTTTGCCCATTGCATGCCTACGCAGAATCACACATGTGTGCCAACATGTGTCAAAAAACGGGCCTTCAAAACAAACCTTACAAAACCACAGTCTCCACTGAAACTTTGTTCCCTTAACTAAAGTTTGTTTCTTGCGCAAACAAACCTCAATTACTGAAGAACAAACCTCAATTAAGGAAACACATCGTAATTAAGGTTTGTAAACATAAATGCTAATTAGTTAGTGCCTTTTTCAAAGGATAGGTATGTGTGCACGTCCACACATATTGACTTTTCAATTTCCAGGTCCACAACCGTATGCATGTATACACTCAAGTGTAAACAGGTATGCCAGTAGATATTCAACAATGTTCACGGTTAGATACTGTTGTAAAAGCACGCTTTTATTATATAAAAAACGTTTCATATCTATGTTCTGCTTGTATATTTCATTTCCTGCGTACACATGGTAGCGTTAAAAAAGCGTTTTTGTTTACACATGTATTTCTGCTTGCGTACATAAGACATATGTGTAAATATTTTTTGGTGCTGGCCAGTGTTGGCAATGTGACTATATGCTGGCGCAGCGATCAAACATCAAACTTTATACATTACCCAACGAATGAAAAATGTTATTCCCTTGAAAATATTCATTTTTTTTTCTACTTTTGAAGTTGCTGACTTGTTCGTGTTCACATGTTAGGTGGCAGCCTCATGACAATTGACCCAAGTGACAAAGGCTATTCACAACGGCAACAATGACAACACCATATTTCATGTCAGTTCAAGCTTTGAACAAAAACCAATGAAAACACACAAACGCAATACCAAATTTCATTTCAAAGGTTCATTTTTTGGTTTTTGGGTTCAAAGTTGTTCAATGTCACGTTTTCAAACCTGTGAAACACGTTGATGTTATCACTGCTAGCACGAGTCACTTTTGGCTCAAAATAGCTCAAAAAGTACTTTTTGAGATGCCCAAAAATCCCTACAAATTAATCTCCCCACAAGCTGGTCGCCATTCCGAAGTTTGTGATGAATTCATCCACGAATTCACTTGGAAATGGACGGCCCTCATTGAATAGATTTGTTTTGGACAAGTGTCATCTTCGGATGAACTATGATATGTGGTTTTCAACGTTTTCTGGAAGCTTGCATTCTGCATGAGGTTTTCGCCAAGTACCAACAACGGTTGAGGATGTTTTTGTGCAAAACAACGTTTGCTGAAAACTGGTTTTTGGAGAGTTGCGAAATTTGATGTGGAGATGATGAAGATGGTTTTGCCATTTGCATGGCAATTTGGAATGTCGTTTATTGTCTTCGCATGTGCATGCTCGACAACAAACTCCAAACCTTTTTCAACCTGGTTTTATTTCAACAACTTTGTGGACGAGAGCGTTGTGGAGATGGTTTTTGTGTTTTTCACTGCATGCTGCATGTGAGCAACCGGAAACTGTGTTTTTGAGTGGTGCATGATGTTTTTCCAACAACGTTTGCACGGCCGACTTTTTCATTTGAGACTGGGATGATTTTTCTGCCGAAATTTGATGCTTCAGCACGGTGCACGTCAACAAATAAGAGAGAAAGACAACAGCACGGTACAGCGGCTGACAGATAGCCGGACAGCTTACTTTGGTTGTTTCGTGTGCTGAGAAAAAGGAGTTAGAGCGAGGTCAAGTCACTTAATTTGAGTTTGGTTTGCTTGCGTGTTTTTGCAAGCTTTATCGGCATCGCCGGTGCTGCACGGACCCCGAGCGTAGGTCGACGCGCGCACGCGGCTAGTGGTTGTAAGCCTGAATTTTCGCAGTTCGTGCAGGAACTGTGCCGTGATGGCGCTCATGAAGTGATTCACCATCTTGACATCGGTGGAAGCAAACTTGACGCCCATGAGATGCATCAGCTTTCCAGCCTTCTCACCACGCACGGAGTATGGCCAGAACGAGCACTGGACAGAGCCAATCAAATCGCATTGCACATACCGGCACAAGCCATTAGGCAGATCCTCAAAGCAAACAGGCCATGGCAAGACCTGAAAGCAGCTGCAAATGGAGCCAAGCCACCCATCAAACTCATCATGCCAGATGAGCTCAATGCACAGATTGCCCAGCGTGCCAACCAGAGAAAGTATGGGAAGAAACAACATGCAGCTCCAAGAAAAGCTGATTCTTCCAAAGAACAGGTCACAGCCAAAGCCTCGGAAATTATCGTCCCACAAGGTGTTTTCAAGCAGCAGGATGGGACCATTCTTGGATCGGTCCAGGTGAGTGATGTGGGCCCAAACGTGAAAGGAGTCCTGCTGGTTGACCAAGATGATAGCACCTCCACATTGAGATTGCCTAAACCAGTAACCCACTTTGGGTTAGCCGTCATTGTGCTTGCGTCCAAAGATAATGCAGATTTGCATCAATACAAAGCCATCCGATTTCCGGCCATGTGCATTTCAACTCAGGAGCCACTGATTGCATCCGGGTACATGTACCAACTGGGGTCTCAGGAAGTTGTCAGGCATGAGCCAGCCGTGAAACTTGCGATCGAAGAACAACCAACCGAAGCAATGAGGTGCCTTGTCTTCAAAGATCAAGCCGGCCAGTTCTGGGATCAAATCCAACAACACCCTGTCAAGCATGTTTTCCAGGCCGAGCCCCTTCTGGCCTCAGTTGAAAACACATCCCCAGTCATTGATGTCTGGGACAGGCAATGGGTGTCCAAGAAGTTTGAAAAAGTCAGGCCTGCCAGTGCTGAGATCTTCGTGTTTTCATTCAGGATGATTGCCGACAAGGCTGAAGCCCTTATGGCCAAATCAGGACAAGCTGGCATCTTTTGGGAGCCACGAGCACCATGTGGACGATATCCCAATCCAAACTATCATGTGACTTGGTTGCCCAACTTGACTTTCCAAGATGCCAAGTATGCCCAGCAGACCTCTCCACAAACCACTACGTTGGCCCGGCATGGAGATCGGTTTGGCCTACGTAGTGACACCATGAATGCTCAGGAGATCCATGAAAAGCACAGGCCAGACACACCACTGTTGCTAGGCCAGTCCAAGATGGTCTACGCTGTGGGGCCGCTGCCATTTTCCACAACCAAAGCAGCACTCACCAAGCTGTTGAAAGCATGGCAGTGGGACGCACGTCCACTTCAGCCGAAAGGCAGAGCTCAGGATGGTAGTGGCATCACATGGCACGTATACAAGCAGTTGAAGACCCTGGCCATTGGGTGTACACCTTGCAGCACGGAGATGTCTTGATCTCAAAGTTGCAAGACACCAAACATGTTGCAGCACCCATGCCATACTCCATCGTTGCCTCCAAAAAGACACTGGAACATTTGCAAGGAGCAGATCCGTGGGCTCACTATGACCCATGGCGAAAAGACGGGCCCCCTGCCCCAGCCAGCAATGCTTCCACGACGCCGAGCAGCAGCAACAGCAGTGTTCAGCAAGTGACCCAGGCTCAAATCGCTGCACTGGAGGCCAATTTTGACAAGAAACTCCAAATGAATGCCCGTCCCACCGATGGAGATGCCAGCATGGACCCAACAGGCATGGAAGGACGAATTGCCCAATTGGAGCACCAGTTCCAACAGGTCCAAGCAATGCAGATTGGCACCGATGCCCGGGTGGGACAGCTCCAAACACAGATCGACCAGCAAAGCAAACAACTGGGAGATCGTATTGAAGAGAAGCTCACGGAACAGATGGATCGCATAGAACAGCTTCTATGCAAAAGAGGTAGATTCGAATGACTATGGACCAAAGTTAATTATGCCTTGGGTCACACGCACAGTTGGCTGTCCAGGCAGCCTAGACTCAAGTCATCTGCAAGGAGACACAGGTCATTCAATGTGACCACCAAGTTCAAGTTCATTTGTATGCTGATCATTTGTTTTGCCAACTCGTTTCGGCCTGGGGAGGCCACAGCACCGGGTCCTGTCATCGGGAACATGAATCCGACCGGCCTTATGGGGAAAGCCACCGAAATTGCCGCACTTCCAACAGGGGTGTATGCTTTTCAGGAGTCTCATCTAACCGTTCAAGGTCTTCGTAGATTCAAACAGGAGCTAGCCTGGTGCCAATCAGGGTATAGAATCTGCCACGGGTACCCTGCCCCGCCAAAAAATGACTCAGTGAGAACCATCGGAGGACGCCACACAGGTACGGGAGTGCTCAGTGCCTTTCCATGCCGTGCCATTGACCACCATTGGACCAAAGAACAATTTCAATCAGGACGTTGCCAAGCTTCTGCAGTTTTTCTTCAAGGCCGATGGCTTACCATGGGCACTGTGTATGGCTACAGCGAGCGTTCACACTGCCTTGACGTGCAACAGCAGACAGGCAGTCTGTTAGATGGCCTCAGTAGCCGTATTGTTGACGGGTCCCATGGCCTAAGGTTTATCTCAGGTGACTGGAACCAAGAAAGACACAATGTACCCCAGGCTGAACAATGGGAGGCCAAAGGGTGGATGGAAGCTCAAGCCTTTGCCCAATGGAGATGGTCGACGCCAGCTGTAGCAACATGCCGCAAAACCACCGTGAAAGACTATGTGTTTTTGTCCCCGGAAGTCCTGCCTTATGTCCAAGATGTTCAATTGGATTGGACCGTTTTTCCAGATCATGCTGTCATCCAAGTCCACTTGTCAGATGTAGGAAGGCCACCCTTGGTTCCGATGTGGAGGAAGCCTGCCCAAATTGATTGGCCAGACAAACCCAAGCAGATGCCATGGGAAACCAACATAGCCCCTTGTGAAGACACAGACATGTGGTACCGTCAAATTTGGCATGACATGGAAACTTATGCTTCCGAGCTGAATGCTGCACAGGGTAAACCGCCTCTTACTGTCAGCCAGACAGGTAGAGGAAGTACCACTGCTGTCAAATGGACCCAAGAACAAACCGCTCCAATCAAAAGCAACCGTCATGTGGACATCCAATCAGCCTTATCAACCAGTTCTATGCAGTACAGCCGGTGGACCAAACAAGTCCGAAGACTCCAACACTATGCAAGGTGTGCCGCTGCTCCCTGCAGTAGCACCGTCGCTGAACACCGTGCGTGTTTGTGGAGAAAAATCAGGTATGCCACAGGGTTTCGAGGGGGTTTCCAAGTTTGGTGGGCCCATTTGCCTAAGCAGTTTTATCACACTCCCTTGGTTTTGCCACATACGCCACCGGATGGGGAGGTTGCTTTTGCAATTTTCACAGAGTTCACCATGCACTATAAAGCCCTTGAGACCAGCCTGGTCCATGCCAAAACCATGCACGCAGCCCAACGTAGGAACCAAGATCCTTTACAGATCTACAGAGACCTGCAAAAAGAGCGTGCCGAACCTGTCCAAACAGTGGTACTGGAGGAGAACTATCCAGTAATCAGCAAACAACACATGGAAGGTGACCAAATGCTGCTCCACCTGGAAAAGCTTATCCCTGCAGGCATCCAGAGCTTTGCCATCAATGACATTGCCACCGCAGTGGAAGTTGTAGATGACCAGACTCTTCGAGTCCCACAGCAAGTTGGAGAAGCATGTCACACAGGTATCCAAGTACATACAATTGAAGCTGACGCCACCAAAGTCCTTCAGGCGTTCGAAAAAGAATGGGCCCCACGGTGGTTGAAAGCAGGTCATGAAGAGCCTGAACAATGGGAAGCCATCGTAGGATTTATGCAACATGCAATGTCACCGAGACAAGCCCAATTTCCGCCGATCACACCTGTGGTCTTTCTCAAAGCAGTTGCCGCCAAACGCAAATATGCAGCCATTGGTCCTGATGGAGTCTCTAGAAGAGACATTTTGCACATGCCAGCCAACACCCTTGCCAGTCTAGTGGAACTGCTTCACCGGATTGAACTTGGCGCCAAATGGCCAACACAGGCCACCACAGGGATTGTAGCCGCATTGGCCAAAACTGCAGGAGCCAAAACAGTGGGACAATATAGACCAATTTGTGTCTTTTCCCTTTTCTATAGGACATGGAGTTCTATCAGAGCACGCCAATGCCTGCGCCACCTGATGAGCATTATCCCAAGTTCACTCATGGGTAATATACCAGGTATAGGAGCCCACAAAAACTTAGGTATCATGTTCAGCAGTTGATAGAACATTCCTATTGCCACACCAGCGAACTTGCGGGAGGTGTCATAGACATTGTCAAGTGTTTCAATGCACTGCCCAGGGTGCCACTTGCCAAGATCGCCCAACATCTTGGTATTCCTGACCAAGTCATGATTCCGTGGAACAACGCCCTCCTCAGCATGACCAGGAGATTCCAAGTTCGAGGAGCAGTAGGGAATGCCTTGTCAAGCAACCGTGGTTACCCAGAAGGCTGCGGACTAAGTGTAGTCATCATGGTTGTAGCCAACATCACCGCTGAACTTTGGTTGTACTATAGATTTCCATCTATTAGGCTCTGGTCGTTTGTTGATAACATTGAAGCCACAGCAGCCACAGCCGAAGAAGCCATCAACGCCTTGTCAGCCTTAGGTGACTTTTGCGCCCTCATGGACCTCAGCATTGATCCTTGCAAGACGTATGCCTGGTCCACAACAGCATCCGGTAGGAAAGCCATCCTTGATAGCCAATTCCACAAAAAGCTCTACGCCCGAGACCTTGGAGGGCACATGTGCTACTCCAAGTTGCGAACCAATGCCACAGTGCAGGATAAGATCAAAGAGTTTAGTCCTTTTTGGTTTCGACTTGCCAGGTCACAGGCGCCGTTCCGGCAAAAAGAAAGAGCACTCTATGTTTGTGCGTGGCCAAATGTGTTTTACGGCATCAGCACAGTGACGTTGGGAGCCAACCACTTCCAACGGCTACGATCACAGTGTACCCGAGCCTTAAACACCAACCAAACAGGAGCCAATCCAGATTTGCAGCTCTCATGCATTTGTAATCCACTTGCCGACCCAGAGCTCTACAGTTTGCTTGCGACAGTGCAAGCCTTCCGAAACCATGCTGACCTTGACCTAGCCCAATACGCACTTGAACATTTGGCCTCTGGAGGTAGTGCATCTCAAGGGCCCTGCACTAGTTTTCTTTCGGCCATACACAAAGTAGCTTGGCATTGGAAAAGCGCCGACATGTGTATTGACCAAGATGGCATACCCATCCATGTGATGTTTTGCCCCAAAATTGAGCTGCGCCAGAGGCTCATTCAAGCGTGGCAACAAAGGGTTTTAGCCACAACAGAAGAAATCAGAACCACCATGAAGGGCATGTCTCAGGCCGATGTCCAACTTACACAGAAATGCTTCCGCAGTTTGCCGGAAGACCATCAGGGTTTAATGAGATGTGCCTTGAATGGAACCCAGTACACCAACGATGCACTTTCCCATGCTGGAGTTGTTGACACTGCGGATTGTAGGTTTTGTGGACACCGAGACAGCCTTTTTCACCGGACATGGGAGTGTTTGTTTTTCCAGCATCTGAGGGATTCAATGCCTGAACTGCCCAAGAGTGATGCCATCACGATGTGCACAGCTTGTCATGGATGGCTGCCAAGAGCCCCCCAACTGACGGAGCTCACAGCCACGTTTCTGGAGGTGCCTGACCAAACAGCCAAATTTGACAATGTGCAGATCTCATGTGAACTTAGATTCATTGACCTTTTTCTTGACGGAAGTTGCCTGCCTCCAAGTGATCCAACCACCAGAATTGCTAGCTGGGCAGTTGTTATTTGGGATGGAAACCGTTTTCAACATCTGGCCAGTGGAGTTGTGTCAGGGTGGCGCCAGACTAGCCTCCGTGGTGAGTTGACCGCAGCCATTTCAGCGTTAAAATTTTGCACAGGTCAGACGCGTCCATGTAGACTTTGGTTTGACAATGAAAATGTGCAGGTGACGCTGCAACAGTGGATCAATGGTTTTGAGGTGCCGTGGCAGCATAAGCAAGACAGTGACCTTTGGTTTCAACTGGACTCTCAGTTTCGACATGCCAAAGATATCCTTTCCGCTGCCAATAAAGTGCAGGCGCATGCGTGCCCAATGCATCAGGATACCGCCATAGATGAGTGGGCGGTACAAGGTAATTCTTTTGCAGACATGTACGCAGCTGAAGCACGACAACAGTTGCCGCAGAGGTTTTGGCATTTGTGGGGAGAAGTACGTCAGCATCGACAAACTATGTTTCAACAAGGAAAAGCAGTTCACCAGCTCTTTGTGCAAATTGGCTTGCGTGCGCAGGCCTCGTCAGTTGTGGCACCGGCTACAATACCAAAGCAGATCCAAGCATCTCATGCAGAACCAGTTGATGCTGGCATTTCATTGCTGGCTACCAAGAATGTGGAAGACCTTCCAAAACAACTGCAGGTTGACGAAACTGCCTACGTTTTGGAATGGATTCGTACGTTGGTTGAAGAAGAGCATGGAGTGACGTGGGTTTCGTACCATCAACTGCTGGTGGACTACCAGATACAAACTGGTCGATTAGGACCCTTCACCAATGGAAGGAAGTGGGTTGCCAGGGAAGTTGACAATGTTTACTGTTATCCGCAGCAAGTGCAGTGGATGGGGAGATTCATGCAAAACCTAGCTAAAGCAGCCGGACAAGGCCTAACCACTGATCAACGAAGACCTTCCAGTCTGGTCCTCCCCTTTTGGACGGGTTGCATCCGAGTTGCCATGGACCAATCCAGGCTCACTGAAGTTGATTCCCACTTCAAAAGTGGGGTACGTAGTTTACCGGTTCGGCAAATCCAGAGGGATATGTCAACTGTGAAACCGGGGTTTTTGTCTCACTAAGGTAGATTCTTGAGCGAGCAACCGCCTCCGCTTTCCGAGCAGCTGCTTCCGATGAAAGGGTAGAAAGGGTAGGTTTTTCAGTGGGACACCTCCAGTTCAGCCTGCACTCTCGCCGGACAAGGTGGGGGTGTTTGGGATCAAGAACTTTCCAGCCGCATCACTGAGACTTCCAGCAATCATGCCGTGGAGATTCAAAACAAGAACAACCGTCTAGTAAGAGTCATCCTGCAGCTTGTCATGCAGCCACCTCACCTGATTTACGGCACGTGCCTGTTCAGCTTTCTCTGCATGCATGAGTTCTGAATGCCCTTAAGTCGCCTGCTCTCAGATCCAAACACATGCAACGCATATGCGCATGCAGACAAAAAGCTTGTTCCCCTCGCTGGTGCTGCATTCGTAAAACTTTGCACCGCTAAGTTGTGCCTTTAAAACCAAAACAAAACCTATCGCGATCAAAATTACCCAAAGGCTTTTCCACAAATACATGAGCTGTGGACTGAGCACATTGGGGATTTACTTTGAGCCTCTGCCATTGTACCAAATCCAAGTTGTGTGGATTTGACAGTGTTGTATGATGAATGCTGACTTGTTCCAAGCAGGAATCTACCATAATGCATGTTGGATTCCGGAACATTCTTGGTTGGCTTCATCATCTTCGAACAGCTTCCTGTTAGGTGTGGGTGGCTATTGCTGACTGAGCGGTCTTGGGGTATGATTCCCTTCCTGCAGGGTGGGTGGCTGAACGGTTTCTGATGTGAATGCTATTTCTATTTTTCTCTATGTTTCTCTATTTTTCCTAATTTTATTCTATTTTTCTCTGATTTTCTTTATTTTCCTCTATTTTTCTTTTTTTTGTTTTATGTTGCTGTATGCTTTTCTGCCAGCTAAAAAACCAATTACAAAAACAACCGGGCATCTGAAAGGCTCGCGACTGTCGTCACTTTTCAAACATTTTTATGGGGGAATTGAAAAGGAATTTAAAAGGCTCAAAAACGAAACTTTAGTTTCATCAGCAACATCGTCATGAACATTATCATCATCATCATCATCATCGTCATCGTCATCATCATCATCATTATCATCATCGTCATCATCATCATCATCATCGTAATAATTTCTTTCATCTTCTTGATCATCCTGGAGATGGCAGCAAATGAGAGCGCATTTTTCAATCGGGGGCTGCGAGGTGAGCAAGCTTACGCAAAGCAAGCAGTATCTCCATGCCCAGCTGTCGGTGTATTCATACAAGATGGGTTCAACTTTCCTTTCTGCAAGGTTATGCTGCGAGGCAACCAACTGTCAAGCTGGTCCCAATTGCGGTCAGCCAACTGGGTTCCAGCCCAGCCTTTGTACAGGCTCTTTTTTGACGATGTTTTTTCAATCTTTTGACAAACTCAGACTTGCAGTGCTCCACATTGACAACCTACAGCGGCGTAGCATGACGTATGTGTGGAAGTGCAAGAGAACCTACAGTGGCGTAGCATGACGTATGTGTGGACATGCAAGAGAACCTAGTAGCATGAAGTATGTGTGGAAGCCCAAGAGAACTTACAGCGGCGTACCATGACGTATGTGTAGAAGTGCAAGAGAACTTACAGCAGCATAGCATGACGTATGTGTGGAAGTGCAAGAGAACCTACAGCAGCGTAGCATGACGTATGTGTGGAAGTGCAAGAGAACCTACAGTGGCGTAGCATGATGTATGTGTGGAAGTGCAAGAGAACCTACAGCAGCCTAGCATGACGTATGTGTGGAAGCGCAAGAAACCCTACAGTGGGATAGCATGTCGTATGCGTGGAAATGCAAGAGAACTTTCAGTGGCGTCGCATGACGTAGGTGTGAAAGTGCGAGAGAACCTACCGTGGCGTAGAATGACGTATGTGTGGAAGTGCAAGAGAACCTACAGCTGCGTAGCATGACGTATGTGTGGAAGTGCAAGAGAACCCACACAGGGGTAGCATGACGTATGTGTGGAAGTGCAAGAGAATCTAGAGTGGCGTAGGATGACGTATTTGTGGAAGTGCAAGAGAACCCACACTGAGGAAGCATGACGTATATTTGGAAATTTAAAAGAAAATACAGCGGCGTAGCATACGTATGTGTGGACATGCAAGAGAACCTACAGCTGCGTAACATGACGTATGTGTGGAAGTGCAAGAGAGCTTACAGCAGCGTAGCATGACGTATGTGTGGAAGTGCAAGAAAAACTACAGCAGCGTAGCATATGAATGAAGCGCAAGAGAGCGTACAGTACCCCCACCCCCCCATCCAATGTTTTGTTGATAGTATGATGCAAAAAATGACAACAGTCGCGAGCCTTCCAGATGCCCGGCACCAAAACCAACCTCAAAATTGCCCAATATTCCTCGATTGTTCTTTAATTTTTTCCAATTTTTTTCTATTTTGCTGCGATGTCATAGTGGTTGGTGTGTGGCTCTTGGGAGCCATCATTTTTGACTGGCTGGCTCTTGTTGGTAAACACTTGGCAGCACCTTGAAAACGTTTGACAGCACCTGACATCGTTTGAAAACAATTGAAGGCATTGGGAAAGATTTGACAGCATTGGACAACACTTGACAGCACTTGCGCCGGATAGAACTTGACAGGGCTTGAAACCTGAAAACAACACTGGATCACTGTGTCTCTGCCTTGGCTGGACCTGAGCGTCTCTGGTGTCAATCAGTGAAAACATGATTTAAAACGATTCAACTTTTTTCTTGGGTTTTCTCTAGCTTTCTCTATTTTTCTCTACTTGTCTTAAAAAAAATTTAAGACATTTTGAGTTGCCAACAGCCTTTATATATATATATATACACATACAATTCAATTACAAAAAATCCCTTTAAACGTTTGGCTTCAACTTGTTGTGGCCTTTGTTTGTTGGGAGTAGTGAGCTTGCGAACGTACCGCCTGTAACAAAAAAAGAAAAATCTGATGAACTGAAAACCAACTGACGGTGTTGGTGAGCCTGGCGGTGTTTTCAGCTCAGCTTTCAGAGTCAAGCAAATATAGCTGATCCTCCTGTGAAGAGTTGAAGATGTTAAACATGTTCAAATTGTTCAAGCTATTTTAAGATGTGTGGAAGTGCGGTGAAATCTGCTGAAACTTCCGTAGTTGGACGCCTTTTCCATTCCGCACTTGTGCGGCGGCAGATGCTCCTGGCTGAATGCTGGAAACCAACTGAAGTTTCCAAACAGCTTCTGTTTATTATCATGTTGTGACATTTACATCTGTCACTGTTGTTTGAAGGATGATCTTTACTTCTCACTTTTTATTTAGATCAGATTGATGTCAGTCTTCTCACCTTTTGCTCTGTTGCGAACATTTTGATTTTATGTTCCGCGCAATTTTGGCTAGGGTGTGGAGGGTGGGTTGCACTTGACCCGTTCGATTTTTCTATCCGATTTTTCCATATCGCCATGGATGCCTGACAGAATTTTGGAAGATCTTGATTTTACGGGACGTGCATTCTCTGACAGAACTTTCAGTTTTCATTTGAACACTGCCTGGATTTGCAAGTGTTTTGTTTTCATGGTACTTGTGCGTGATTCACACAGTTTGGGCGATTTACCAGATGCAGCTGGTGCTGCGCAGTGGCCTGTTTCGCAAGGGGACAATGGAGGCCAGAGCGACATGGACTGGGAACACGTACAACTTCCAGATGCTTTGAATGATCATGATTTTGGACAAGATTCACATTTCAGTCCTTTGTTTGGATACGAGGAAAAGGAATTTGCAGAGCAGCAAATTGAGGAAGAATATTCACTCGCTGCAAGTTTGGTCAGACCAGATGACGTTGAAAACCAGACTGGACGCTTCATGGTGCCCACAGCCAAGGCACGGGCTGATAGGAACTTGGCTGAAACAGTTGACATGGATGTCAGTCGAACCATTGACAACCTTGTGATTCAACATGTGGCTGGGTCTTCTTCACTGCCAAGTTCTTTTTTGAATAGAATGGATTTTGACAATGTATTTTCACTGGACAGCATTTGGAGGCAACCACAGCTGCCTATGTATGGGCGGTTTGAATCTGTTCAGGGCGTTGTGCATAGTGCAGTGAGCTCGCATGAGGAACCGGTGCAAGGAGTCTCAGATTTCAAACGCAAAAGACTGTTGGCAACGGCATTTGCCAAAACAGATGATCAGCTGGTTGATTGTGCAATGCGGCAACTCAAAGAGATAGTTCTTTTTCAACCTTTGGATTCAAGACTGGGCAGAGCACTTCTGGATTTTTCAGGAAAGCTGGTACCAGAGTCGAAAATTTCAACTTCCTTTATTGATGCTGTTGCTGGCAAGGCGCCTGGCACAGTATCTAAAAGGGTTGCAGACTATCACCGTTTTGCACGATGGGCAGTTGATGGGGGACGTTGCTATCCCATGAACATTTCAGAGACTGTGGTGTACGACTATGCCAAGCACTTGCAACTGTCCGGAGCCTCTGCAACATCTCTGCAGTCATTTATCAAAGCAATTGGATTTTTCGAACATCACATTGGCTTTGCGAGGGTGGATGTTGCTCAAATTTTTTCTGGCAGAGTGAACGGAGTTAGCAGGACTATGCTTTCAGGCAAAAGGGAGTTGAAGCAAGCTCCACCACTTACTGCTGATGCGTTGTACGCTTTGGAGAAACATGTCTGTGAGTGCAACGATGTGGAGGCATGCATTGGAGGATTCATGATTTTTTGTTTGCTGGCATCTGCAAGATTTGCTGACGCAGCTCGTGCGGAGACCGTGCATTTGGACATGAGTGGTCACATATCACTGCTGGAGACGTCAAGCATGAAATTCAAGACAGCGCATACGGCTGGCAAGGAAGCTAGGAATGTTGCCCTTCCTATGCTGGCCCTGGGCAATGGGCTTTACGAAAAGGACTCTTGGGCATGGACATGGATTCGTGCCCGGAAGCGACAAAAGATGGATCATTTCAAATTTTTGATGCCGGCCTGGAATGAAGAAACATCACAATGGTTGAATCGTCCAATGACATCTGGTGAAGGTGTATACTTTCTACGTGAGCTGCTGTGCAACTCTGGTATGAGTGAGGCTCAGGCGGCTTCATA